GACGTTGTAAAACAAGCCTATTCACTTCGTGAACTCGGCAACCAGGTTACCGTTTTTTTTTTCGTTTAACTCCATTTTTTTTTATGGTGGGAACCTTAATGGTGGTCGAGTGGATCATGTTGTGCGGGGTGGAGAAGCCTCACTCCGTGCAAGGGGGATGACCGCACCACGTTCTGTCAAATGGTCAAGCACCCTCGACGCAGTTACACAGTGCCTTTAACTGTCTCTGGAAGTGAAAGCACCAGACAAGTACTCAAGTCATACGCAGCTGTCATCCGTACGCAAGGAAGTAAGCACAAGGTGCCGAACACACTTAGCAGGATGCAGCGCACCCTTCATGCGACTCGCCGAACACCTCACGGCGCTTTGCGCTTGGTGATGTGAGAGCCTGGTCCGGTGAGAACCCGGCGTGCTCCGTCCCGGCTTTGTAGGGATGCGAGGTCAATGGTCTAACGACTACGGCATGCACGAGTATGAGCGCACACCCCCCCCCCATTCTAGACTTGAGTGGGTTAAACCGCACCTTCGTTGTCTGTTTTTCTCTCTTTCTCTGCTGCGCACAGTTGAAAGAAGGACTGCAGAGACACAGTTGGCCCAAACATTGCTGTTGGCGTATTACAGTAGGAAACATAAATACAAACACAGAAGACTACCCATTCGTATAAAGTTACACGTGGAGATGCGCCTAATGCTGCCTGACGCTGTTCTTTCCGACCCTTCGGTCTTACCTACCCCGACCGAACTGTGCGCACACAGCACTTGAAGGAGCGATTGGCGCACGCCTTTCAGGAAGCGTCCGATCTCCGTGAAGAGCTGGAGAGGACAGAAGCCGCCGTAGTCGGAGGCAAGAAGAAGCGAGACGTCGACGTGGCGGAGCGGGAAACCCAGCTGAAGCTCTACGAGGAAGAGATCCGCAGGTTGGAGGCGGAGGTGCGTCGTGCTGTTGTGCATTTTGTTTTTTGGCAGTCGGTGGGTAACAAGAGTCCGCTGATTCTTGTAGTAAAGTTCCGCAGAAATACTTACGGGCTTGGTTGTAAGGAATGTTCATTGGCATACGTAGTGGGCAAAGAAGACTTCCGCAATAGAAATCATCCTCTTGGTTATCGATGCGACCGAGTTGGGAATGCGGCCCCCTAATTCCTCTTCTGGGAACGACGGTTGGTTGTGAGTCGTCTAGGGTTAACCGGTTTGGGGGGGTCCTCTCTATTTCCTGCAATGAAAAATCCGTCAAGACGTGGATGTAAAAAGGGGAAAGGGGTCAGGAGAACGTGGAGGCTGACGCGTAAGTTAATCCGCTCAAAAAAAAAAATAGCGCACACAATATGTGCGCTGCGTGTGTTCGTTGCTTGTGTCCAGGGTGCATACCTCCGCAGCCAGCTAACCAGGAGCGTCAACGCAGAGACGCAGCTGGCGAACGAGCTCAAGAGGACGCAGGAGTCGCTCTTGTTCCTCTCCGCGTGGGATGAGGAAAAGATTGAGCTCGAGGCGGAGGTGAGGCACGGCGGTTAACGCGTAGGAGTTTAAGCAAGAATAATGGTGAGCATGCGCGCCGATATTTTGTAAGCAGGCCGTTCGAGTGAATGTAAGACGATGACGTGTTGTTTTTTCGTAGTGTTGGGGGGGTTCGTGGTGACCCGGGATGTGCCTCTTGGATAGAAAATGAGAGAGGAGTTGTGGTCCACCAGAGTACACACGTCGGAATCGGAATGTACTCTGTTTTCGTGGATAATCGCAAAAGTTTCCAGGTCGTTCACGCGCCCGCCAACCTGACCGCCTGTGTCCGAGCAACGTTCTCTTCCCGATGCTTGGAAACATGTAAAAATGCATCTTCATCGTTCAAGGTTGCAAGCCTCAAGTCTCAGCTGTCTTCCGCAATTGAAGAAGGAAAGAACCGGTTGGAACGCACGCAGCAAGACTTCAACATAGCCTCCGCGATGGCGGGGCAAAAGGCACAACTACGGCTCGCAAGGTATGGCGAGGGGTGAAGGCATGTCTTCCTTGGTAGCTGGAGTGGCGCGTTTGTTGCCTGGGTTTATCTATCCGCGCGATAGCATTTGTGGTACCCCACCCTCTGCGTGTGTTTTCTCCCAGTCCCCCGTCCTTGAGGGCCGCCTGGTATCTTACCCCCCCCCCAACCAACGTCCATGGTCTAACGACTACGGTATGCACGGCTTGGGCATCCCCGCCCCCCTCCCTCCTTACGACAAATCAATGTCGTCAGAGACGCCGCGAAGATCCGGATCGATTTGGAGAAGGGGCTCAGCGAGGAGTTCAGGAGCCTCAGGCGAGAGACGGAGGTGCTCCGGCGGGAGAAGGCGCACAAGGATGCGGAGGTGAGCTGCTGTCTGCAGAAAAGAGAGGCTGATAGCAATGTCCCGGTCTAGACAGCGTTACCCCCCTCTCTTCCTGTACGAGCGTCGTCCGCTCTGTCCCGCACCCGCACAAGCGAAAGTTGTCGCCATGGCTGCAACGGACACCGCAGTCCCATCGCCCCGTACACTACATGTTTATGTGCCCGCAATGTGCGAGGGAAGCACTCCTCCACTTGAGCCGTGGTAGAATCAGGGTGATTCCGTCTGTCTCCGTATCGCACAAGACAGGCTCTGAAAATAATACGAAAAAGCTGCGCTCTTTCGTCGTGATCACGGCGGTGATTCTTGATTAGCACCTCCTCCACCCACCGACCAAAAGGCAAGAATAATGACCAGCCTGGGCCGGCGAATTCTCAGCATTGTAGGGATGCGAGGTGAATCGCCTAACGACTACGGCATGCGTATACAAAGAGTACTCCCCCCCC